CAATAGATTCCGAGATTGGAGGAAGGCGGCGCCGGGTGAGAGTTTGTGAGAGGTTGAGAAGTCGAATGGCGTAGAATGAGAAGTCCACGAGCTGCGGAGTGCGGACGGAATGGGTATGCGCGAGAGTTGAATGGTATTGCCTTGGATTGGATTCGGCTTTCTTCGTTCTTGGCTGGGTTGGGCTTATATTTTAACAAAGAAAGGGTAAATTAGGCCTAATGCCTCATTAAATTAATTAAATAGAAAAATAGACTTTTAAACTAATTAAAATAGTTACAACGTAATTAATACATCCTAAAAGTCCAAACTCTCAAAATGTTCAGTATCCCCAATTCCCATTCCAATTCAAAAGAGACCCTTCTTCCTAATCACTACCGTCTCCGCTTTAAGTTTTGATCATTCTAGGTGTAAATGAAAAGCAGCAAAATCGACAATTGCAACAATAATTGCTCCCCAGTAGATATCTCTCATCTTCCTCCATATATATATACACACAACTGTATGTAAGCATGTATCTGTGTATATATGTATATACATACATCTGTATAATTGACTTTTCCGATATGTTTTGATTATTATCGATGTGGTGTTCAATCCTATAGTCTAAATTCATTCATGGTTTGAGGCTGTTGGCATTTATTGTGGAGAATGTTACAAAGAGGTAAATCTAGAATCTTAATCAATTTTCTGTGCATGCGAATCATGCTTAACAATTCTTGTATGATTTGATAATTGTTGTGGCTTTTTTAGGATAATTTTATTCTCAGATGAACTATTATATTTGACGATTTTTCTCTTATCATGCCACAGTTTGAGGTGATGTTAAGATTTACCATATCAGGTATTCATTTTTTGAAATACCTTGACAAGATTATACTTCCTTATCATCCTCCAAAACTTAAGTACATATGTGGAAACATAATTGAATTTTACAAATCTCACTTGGTTCCTATGTCTTTCCCGTGGTATGGCCTCTAGCCAACATATATACACCCCAATACTTAGTTTCTCAATCTTCCATAGCATGTCCTCTAGGGTTTTTATGTAATATGTTATACTTTTAACCTAGTTTCTCATGAATCTAATTGATATTCTCCGATATATGATTATGCCCCAACAGGTAATCTTGCAAATGCAATGAGAAGAACAGAGAAAAATCAATTGCAACTTAATTGGGAATTACAACATCGAATTGCAGTTGGCATAGTTAAGGGGTTGCAGTATCTTCGTTTCACTTGTGATCTGAGAAGATTGCATTACAACTTGAAGTCCACAAATGTGATGTTGGACTCATAATTTGAACCACAGTTACAAGATTGTGGCATGTCTATGATTATTCCTAATATTGGTAGAGCAGCTTTATGATATAGTTCTCCAAAGTGCATTCAAAATGATGGGATGTTCTTTGTCTTAGTGCTATCTTTTGTTGTCCTGTTCAAACATTATTATACAATTAAAAAAATAGTTTGGGTGAAAAAGAGTGAATATTAATTATATTCTAACATCATTCATCCATGAATTCACACTTCAATTCATAAAAATTTTAAGAAATCAAAGGTAAATTAGCTCAACTTTATGGGTTTCGAAATTTTTCTTCTCTTTCTTAAATTCTTGCTTATTGTTGGAATTTTTTGAGTTTTGTTGAGAGTATGGGCGTAGTTGATGTTGGTTTTGGGGATTGATTGTGGAATATTTGGATTTAGCATAGAATCATTAGAAAATTCTACTCATTTCAATTACTGTGCATATCAAGTGTTCGATTAATTGCTCCAAATGCATTTTTGTGTTAATTATGCCATGATTTTTGTATGATACACAGAATATACGCACATAAACACTCACATGTCATTGTATCTCTACAATTGCAGCATGAATTGAATGACGATTTAGGGGGAAGCATATTCAACCCTACGTTCGTCCATATGTCCCACGCGTCCCTATTTGAGTCCCAGTTTTCTGCTTATTGTTTATTTAGGATTTCTATATCATATATGAGTAACTAATGATCATTCAGCCATGTTGAATTGTTATGAGGAGAAGCAAGGAGGCCAATTGAAGTGGGGAAGAAATGAAAGAGGAAGACTAGAGCAAGACAAGTAGAGGAAGAAGGAAATGCAGCCAACGATTTCTCTGAAATTCAAATCCAGAACAGAAAGAACATTTTACACTTTTGTTTTCTATTATAACCTAGAGATGGAATTGGGATAATGTTGTGAATGATTATCGTGAAAAAATCCACCACCACCTCTAGGTTATAATAGAATGTTTCTAGG